CCAAAAAAGAGACAAAAATATGTAAAAAATACCCGGGCCCTTAATGCATTAGTCACGCAGTAGAAATATTTTGATAACTACTAAAAAATAAGTCATAAGTCACACAAAACATGTAAATTATTATGCCCCCGCCATGTTATTGCCGGGGCATATAGTGTTACCCTGTTCCGTCATTCCGTCCTTCCGTCATTCTGTCATTCCGTCACCATCAGTTTCCGTTCATTATCTTAAGAACGGTTGCACACATTCAACTCAAATTTGACATATGGATATGTCATGAAAAAATACAGGTCAAGTACGAATTTGGTCATGATTCGATGATTTTTGGCAGAGTTATGCCCCTTTTACTTTGAAAATAATATGGAATTTTCAGTTTCCGTTCATTATCTCCCCAACGATACAACACATTCAACTCAAACTTTACATATGGATATGTCATGAGAAAATACAGGTCAAGTTCGAATTTGGTCATGATTTGATGATTTGTGGCAGAGTTATGCTCCTTTTACTTTGAAAATAATATGAAATTTTCAGATTCCGTTCATTATCTCCTCAAAGGTACAACACATTCAACTCAAACTTGACAGATGGATATGTCATGAAAAAAATACAGGTCAAGTTGGAATTTGGTCATGGTTCGATGTTTTTTGGCAGAGTTATGCCCCTTTTACTTTGAAAACAATATGACATTTTCAGTTTCCGTTCATTATCTCCCCAAAGGTACAACACATTCAACTCAAACTTGACATATGGATGCGTCAAAGGAATGCGCAGGTCAAGTTTAAATTTGGTCATGGTTCAATGATTTATGGCAGAGTTATGCCCCTTTCACTTTGAAAGTAATATGAAATTTTCAGTTTCCGTTTATTTTCTCCCCAATGGTACAACACATTCAACTCAAATTTGACATATGAATATGTTTTTGGAATGCCCAGGCCAAGTTCGAATTTGGTCATGGTTCATTGATTTTTGGCAGAGTAATGTCCCTTTCACTTTGAAAATAATATGAAATTTACAGTTTCTGTTCATATCTACCCAACAGTGTTACATATTCAACTTAAATTTGACATATGGATATGTCAAAGGTATGGGCAGGTCAAGTTGCAATTTGGTCATGGTTTGATGATTTTTTGGCAGAGTTATGTCCCTTTTACTTTGAAAATAAAATAGATACATCTTAGGAATAAGCAGTTTAAGTTTGAATTTGGTCGTGGTTAAATGATTTTGGACAAACTAATCTTTCCTGAATGTTTTGAAAAAAGTTTGAACTTTCAGTTTCAGCACTCATATACTTTTGTGGGAATGTATGAAGCCCATTATTTTGGCTACAAATAATGAAGTATGCTATTTTCAAAAGGTTAAGACTGAATAATTTCAGTGCCCTTGATCATTGTATGAAAATGGTTTGTGTTAACATTGAAAAGTTTTAAGGGCTTTGAACTTAAAATGAAAAAAAAAAATTTTGTGCAAACAAATTTGGAACTAAATATAACATATGAAATTTTTTGGCTGCATGCGGGGCATCCGTGGCATGATGACACATTTCTAGTTTTTACTTTTTCTAAGATTTTAGTTTTTTCTGAAGTTTCATTTTCTTGAAATATTTTGGCAGGGGCAATGCAGCTTTAATGTCATATTTTTATTACTTATGTCTAGAAAAAAAAGCGTGTGGTCGAATCGTTTGTATAAAGTATACAATAACAGAGTTCATACGAAACTACAATTTTATTTATAGTTCGATTTCAGAATAATCTATTCTTCTTTCATAACAGCTAACAATAACTACTGTAAAGGTATATTGCATTATCAGGAACCAAAGCTAAACTGATCCTATGACTTCTGTATATTTTTTCAAAATAACGTTTAGAAATCATCATATTGAAACAGTAAACAAAGAATTATTCATGCATCCTCTATTATCTATATTTTCAAGTATTTATCAGGGATGCCACCATTTCCGACAGACGTAATATTTGTATTAAGACTCGTCAATTAGTCAGTCTGTTGAACAATTTGGCTATCAACTGGACTTTGTATTGCAATTTATTGACCACGTTAACATTAGTACAGAAGAATTTCAGATCGCAATAATTACGTTTTCGTTTGACGACAAAGTGGAAATAACTTTCAATCAGTCTTCAGATAAAGACAGTCTCAGAAATTTAATAAATAAAATCCATTTTCGACCTGGGGCTACATTTACTGATAAAGGATTAAGTTTAGCATTAGAAGTTGCAAGACAGAGTGAAAGACGTGAAGGAATGGTCACACTAACGTATGCGTTTGTTCTAACCGATGGTATGTCAACTAAACGAGATGACATACGCATTGCTGCAAAGGCATTAAGGGATGCTAACGTTCGCGTTATTGCAATAGGTAATTATATCAGTTAACATTAGAATCCTTAGTTTATACATCATAAGTTATCAACAATCACTTTATCTAGGATAAAGAGGTAAAATGTTTTACACTCATTTTGGAAAAAAAGACATACAGAGAAGTGAGTAAATAGAGTTAAAGGCCCATTATGCCTCAGAAAGGATTTTTTTTATTTCAGAAATGCTTTTTAATTTTGGTGTACTGTTATAGTATCCAGAGAGTTACTGGATGGCCAATTAAGGAAAGATCTTTTTCATCTGTTGCTTTTTGGCAATAAGTAAACTTAGAATAAATTAGTATTTTGTAAGGAAGTCAAACTATTTCTTTGTGTACATTTTACTACTTTTATCACACATTATTTCACATTTATCTCTAATTTCTTCTGGTAACAAAGAAAATCTAACATTCTCTAAAACCATTATTTAAACGTTTGCCCTTTCTAAAGATGTAAAATATTATTTGTTTGTGAAACATAATTTGCGTTTAAACAAGAAGCAGTGTGGCATGTATTTTTCTTTTACATTTTAGGCATTGGAAGGGAAGTGTCTCACCAAGAATTGATAGACATTGCATCGCCGGGAGACCAGTACAGTCCGTCCTACGTTTTCTCTGTCGGAGATTTTAATGCCCTGTATGCTTTACTAAAACAGCTTGTTGACATAACTTGTGACGACTGTACCGCTTTAAGTCACTTTTCTGATATCGTGTTTCTTCTTGATGAGGGTAATGACATGACAGAAAATGTGTTTGAAATATCGGTTGATGTGATCAAGTCTATCGTGGAGAATACTGATAATATCGGCGAGTATGAAGGTGCCACATTTGCTTTACTCCAATTCAGAAACTCGCTTAAGTATGTAATCAGGCAATCAAACGGCCATTCAAAAAGTGACATTATTCTTCAGCTTCAAATCTTAAGCCGGATGAGAAATGATGTTTGCAGCAAAGATGATCATTGCGAGGAAATAAATATCACAACAGCTATTAATGAAACATTTCACAATCTTTACAATAATACTGGACGTCAAGGAGCTAGAAAATTCTTGTCTTGCTTTTAAATGGACAATATGAAGATCCGAGTTCTATAAAAGATGAAATGGCTAGACTTTATGACGAAGTTGATGTAAAAGTCTTTGTAGTTGGTGTAGAACCTAATATTAATATGGATGATCTACTGTCTTTGGCTAAAGAAGCTAGTCAAGTATTTGTGACAAAAGACGACGTTGAGAACTCAAAATTTACAGTCATGCAGTCAGAATTTACGTACAATGTATGCAAATGAACGTGGGTTATATTGAAAATGTTTGAAACGATCAGCGTGTTTACAGTCATATACAGAATTCGCGTACAATATATGTATTAAAACAATGGTTATTTATTGAAACGGGTTTTGAAAAGATGGGGGGGCGCATTTTTTTTTTTTTAAAAATAAATTTCAAATTCAGTCAGGAATTCACGCACAATATATGCAATCATACTTATTGGTTTTTGAGTGTTGAATTTTATGCAGGACCCGAGTAAGTACTCAGATTCTCGTAGTACTGGACGATTTATAAGTCAAATGGACCACACCATATACTAAAACTATAATACTTTATGTTGTATATTATACATAATATAATTTTTAATATGATAATGAATATAAGCGATAACAAAGTAATTATAAAAAAAAGAATTAGCGATGCAATTCATATATCCAGGGCGAGGCACACATTTTAAACTCTAGACAGCTTATAAGAATTTAAAGTTGGTTTTTGCACGCTGACTGATTTTATTCTGATGTTCAGCTGACAAGGTTTTTTTTCTAGTTGAAAGCGCAGGTCAAGCTTTTCACAGAGATCCCAGAAGAAGGGGTTCTCCAACGCTGTCTGTGATTATACATTGCCGCAATCAACATGAGTACAGCATAAGTAATTAATGTTTGACATGGTTTATGACTGAAAAAAACTTTACTTTTTGTTGAAAAAAATTGACACTTGGTAAAATTTCTGTTGTGAATGTTGAATGTTATTGAGTTCTTATATAACATACAGGTAACTTTTAATGGTTGGAAGATAGAAACGCAACCATAGTAATTTTGTAGTTATTATAACAAAGTAATTTACTTTTGGTGTCCGGTTATAGTATGCAAACAAAAGATACTAATAACCCATTTACCTGAACCATTTTCTTTGCTTCCATTGGTTGTTTGACAACATGTACATATATATTTATTTGATTCTTTGAATGGATTTCAAAATACTGCTTTGTTTACATTTGCATTTTTTATGACAATCTATTTTTCTTTAAGCGCTATTGCCTTTTGACATGATTTAAAAACATTATTTAAAGCTGTAAAACTAAAGCGTGCGACATGTAAAGAAGGGGAAAACTCGTTATGAGGAATAACATGTTTAAAGTAAAAGCCTTTCAAATAATTAAATCAGTTTTGGGTGACTCTTTTTTCCACTCCTGGTACAACAGAGCTACTTCTTAGTCATTCACACAATACTTCTTTAGAGTAGCTTCTATTGTATTTTATTGGTTTCTTTTAAGATGTGTATTTAAACTTGAGGTTAATCTGTAAATATCACCCGGAAGTTTGACATATACACGAGTCGTTACGTTAACTTATTCGTTTTAGTATTAAAACATGCGTTGGATATTAAAGTGACATTTTGCCCATTTAAGGATATATAGTGAGTGAATAGGTGGAAGTCAAAATAAGTTTACACATTGCATTAATCCCTTTCAATTTGATAATTTACTTTGCATAAACATTGAAGAGCGCATGGATCCAAATGAAATGTTTGTAAATACCTTTAGTATTTACCTGTAAAGGTCAGCTTATTAAAAGAGTGGGGTATTTTTTTTATTTTATCCCAGATTTAAATTTTAACTTAACATTTTTCAATATCAACTGTTGGTCAAACATCATTTTAACAGTCAATCTTTTGAAATATAAAGCCGATTCAACTCAACTTATCTTTACAGATATCAGCATAATGTCACATACAGATATGAAAACAATGAGAGAAATAGTATAATGGGATATAAATATATTTATTTTTCAGTTTTTTGACACTTGTTTTGTTATTATTTTGTTTAAACCGAAGGGTAGCAAACAGGAATGGAGGTACTTAAATGTTTGATACTGGCATTTATAGCTGAAACAACAGCTAGGTCGTGCAATAAGGGATGCGAGTGGTCACCTTGGAAAGGATGGTCCGGGTGTAGCCGAACATGCGGTGGAGGATTTAGGAGTAGATACAGACCTTTTTGCTGCAGGTCCGATTTAGCATCCGACATTGATGCTTGTTTATCAAATTGTGGAAAGGATTTGTCCTTCTTGTACAGTGGTGAATATTTAAGCGAAAGTTGTATGGACATATGTTATAATGGTGGAACATTTGAGGGGTATTGTAAATGCGATTTTTTACACGAAGGTTACTGTTGTGAAAAAGGTAAAATTCAATTCTAATTAAAATGATGTTTCATTTGTAAATTAGCTTACATTTCATTGTTTTTGTCTAAAAATAGGAACAAAATGACAAAAAATTATGTTTTAATATAAATATGTTTCAACGTTGACAAATAGTTCTACTTTTTTTGGAATATACTTGTAAAGATTGTATTTTAGCTATAATATCCTAGATTTTGCTATGGACATTAATTATTTTTTTTATGTCAATTTATCAATTTTTTTCTCTAATTGAAAAAAGTTATATTATTCAGTTAAATTCCTTGAACTATCTGTTTATAAATTTTATTGATATACATGTATATATGTTTATATAATTTTATAATAGCCGATGTAAACTCAATGCAACATCAAAATGAAACCGTAGCACTATCATATGTTCAAGTATAGACAATATCACGATAAAAATACGTAACAAAAAAAACAAAAAAAAAAAAAAAAAAAAAAAAAAACAACCATATCAACAAAACAAAAATTCACACGACCTCAAACAGAAATATGTAGTAACATAAAATGCAGTTCAAATTATCCATGCATTATATAACTGCAATCAATAAGTAGTAAGTTTTTTTGTTTGTTTTTAAAAACTAAAATGACTAAAATATTGAAATAGCCTCATAACAAAGCTTTATAAAATCCTACATAAAGCTGTGGTTATACTGTGGTTATAATGTTCTCCTTAAACAATGTACTATCGAAAGAAATAATATTAAAAGGCCTACGCTTTAAATTTTACAGCCCAATGCCTCCATATACAACTGACATACACTGTTTTACAAAATGATTGGTGAAATACAATACCACTTAAGCAAATTTTACAAAATAACGATGACATGCTCTGATCGAATAAAAACATTTAACAAGCATCTATAAAAGTGGCGTTTATTTTTTTGTCCATTTTTCAAAATCACTTCATGTAAATAAGTACAACCCTGACCAAGTTGATAATAACCTTTCTAAAAACTGAAAAATAGCATTTACTCATAAACATTATGTTTGTTTTTAGGATGATCGATTACATTTGAAGTATTTTTCAGCTCTAGGACTGACAGGCACATCGAGTGTTATATTGCTTGCATCGTCACCTTAGTGCAGTAACAGGTTAACTCCTATCATAGAGTATCCTTTTTAAAACCTATGAAACAAACCTATCTATATGATATGCAACTTGAAAAGAACTTTTACATTACAAGGATATTTCAATAATTAAATGGGAATTTTTTGTGAAAAATTTTCTTTTCTGACATTGTATTTCTTTCCGTATTGAATTTGACATTCTTAGATCGATAGAATTGGTACAGCATATTGAATAGTATATATTATAATCTCATCGAAACTATTTTAGATAACTGAACATTTATGTGTATCATAAATACATTATAAAACAAACATTTACAGAAAAACCTCGCTTAGAACAACCCAGTGGCAGAAGAAGCTGTGATGACATATGCACGTGGTCTTCATGGGAAGAATGGAGTACGTGCTCTGTGTCTTGTGGTGGTGGTGGACATCAACAACGTGAAAGGCATTTATGTTGTCTTGAGGAATACGGCAACTTTCAAAACTGTGCAGCAAGATGTGACAAAGACATTAAGGACCAAGTTGAGAATAGAAACTGTGGAGATAATTGTTTATATGGTGGAACTTTGAAGAAAGGCGATTACGGGTGTCAATGTTTGGACAGGACATTTGGACATTGCTGTGAAGAACGTACGTATTTTCTTACATTATTATTTTATAAACGGGTAGAATATATTTGTGCAACATATGAAAATAGTATTATAACATTTTTACTCAATTTTTATATTAGTGATTGAAACGTAAAATATTGATTGTAGCAGGTGTTAAGTGAATAATTGAAGTTGTCCTTAACTTCATCTTAGTCATGGTATGCTGATCTGCAGGATCATTGATTACAGTACAGTACGTGTTGAAAATTAAAACATAAAACTGACGCTGGAAGGGCAGGAGGAAGAGAGACAAAGAAAAATAATGTTGAAAAGTGTATTTTTATTTTCTTTGTATCATAGACAGATTCAATTAACCTAAAAATGCAATTTAAATCTTTTTACTAATTTGTTTTCATTGCTCTGTAGGGATCTCACTATCATCATGAATTTTATATAGCATTAGGAAATAGATCTTTTTCTCTAATTTGAAAATTATTTTCAGTATTATCAGGTTGCACACCCTTTCCAACTGACGTTATATTTGTGTTAGATTCGTCAACAAGTCAAACGAAAGACGAGTTTCGTCAACAGCTCGATTTTGTATTAAAATTCATTGATCAAGTTAACATTAGCAAAGAAGAATTTCAAATCACGATAGCAACATTTTCATTCGAGGCGAAAATAGAAATACATTTTAATCAATCTACAAATAAAAACAATCTTCTAGATGCAATAAATAAAATTTCATTTAGACCGGGTGCTACCTTTACAAACAAAGGGTTAAATGCAGCATTAACCGTTGCAAGACAAAGTGAAAGACGGAAAGGGATGGTGACACTTACGTATGCATTTGTTCTGACCGATGGAATGTCAACTAAACGACAGGATACACGTTTAGCAGCAAAGACATTGAGGGACCATAACGTTCACGTTGTTGCAATAGGTACATTAAAAGTACATATTTTGATTAATGTCTTAATTGAAATGTCTGCCGTGGGTAACTACATTGAATATTATATGTATGCTAAGAATTTAAGTTAAACTTAAACTTAGTCAACGTAAATCAAATGATACTTCATACTTGTATTCATTTCTTTCGAAGTAACTCTAAAGAATGAGCACTTGCATACTTAAATCAGGTTCAACCAGCATAATACAAAGTCACGTTATTGTTTAAAGTAGAAAAAAGATTTATATCTACCTATCTATTTTTAAATCAATGCTTCCGAGGAATCTGCCACTTTGCACAGGTTTAATTAATGTAGATGCATCTAAAGTCTTACATTGAAAATAAGAAATTGATTAATATGTATGTGTATAGTTGTATGCTGAAAGTAACTGATACCATTCTATCTTCATTTCCAAAGGGATAGGAAAGGAGGTGTCACACAAAGAACTGATAGATATTGCATCACCTGGAGACCAACATAGCCCGTCTTACGTTTTTTCTGTCGGCGACTTTAATGCACTGGATACCTTACTGAAACAGCTCGTCGATATTACCTGTGATGACTGCAGTGCCGTTAGCCACTTTTCACATATCGTGTTTCTTCTGGATGAAAGTAATGACATGACTGAAAATGAGTTTGAAATATCAGTAGATATACTAACATCAATTGTGACAAATACTGATCATGTAGGTGAACATGATGGTCCGGCTTTTGGATTGTTTCAATTGGGCGACACATTAGAGAATGTGATAAAACTGTCGAAGCACCAGTCACAAAGTGGACTGACTCTGAATCTTAGAGTCTTACGCCGGACGAGAAATGATGCTTGTAGTAAAGATGAGCAATGCAATAAAATGAACATGACGAATGCTATAGGTGAAATTGTTAAAAACTCATACAACATCTCCGGAAGAGATAATGCTAGAAACTTTCTCATTATTCTGTCTAATGGTCACTTTGAAAAGCCAAGTATGATAAAAAATGAAATAGCAAATATCAAGGAATTAGCTGATGTTAAGGTTTTTATGGTTGGATTAGGATCTGATATCCATATGTATGGATTGTTAGCCCTGGCTAAAGAAGCAAGTCATGTGTTTGTAACTCAGGACAATAGTGATCACTCAAATTTAATTGTAATGCAATCAGAATTTATGTACAACATTTGCTTAAAGCATTGAGAATACTGGTGAATTTCGTTTAACATTTTTGTGTCTTTTGTTTTTGTATTTTGTTTAGTTTTGCTCTGTGGTTTGACCTTTGACAATATTTTATTTACTACGATAAACTGATTGTTCTCTAACCCGATATTTGTTTATAAGCTATAATACCTGACATTGATATTGTCTTGTATGCTTTTATGTGTTAAAGTATGGTCGTGCTTATGAGTACACAAATGTCTATATTTAACCCTCCCCTTATCTTGATTGGTTTTATTCTATATCAGATAAGTCGTATTACATGTCGTTATCATTAGGATTGGTTTAATTTGATCAAGTTTAATCGGGTTGTCTTCCTCTTTTTATTTTGATCCGTATCATTTTATCAAATTTAGGCGGCATTGCTGTCTTTTTTATTTTGGTAAGTTCAATTGTATCAAGTTTAAGCGGCATTGTATCGTCTTTTTAGTTTGATTTGCGTAATGCGGTTGTTTGGTATAATTTTATCACATTTTATATTAGATGTACTTTACAACATTCTCGTTTATTATGTTTTGTTTTCATGTTTTTGTTCCTGCTTTCCTTCATTGATAATAACATTATTATAAGTTCTTTTCAAATAAAGTCGGAAAATACGTTGCTATTCTTTTTTAAAAAAGTTATGTCGGTCGAATAAACAAACTACAACTATTAAAAGTATGCCATGAACTTCATAAATGATTGTCCATTTGGGAAAGTTCTAGAAATAATTTTAGAATTAACAGGGAATTCTTTTGTATATTGAACATCAAAGAGAATCTGCCGTAGGGCAAGCAAGGGCTTGTTTAATTGTTGAATTGCATTTTGAATAAATGTAGTTAAATCGTCGTTTTGTCAAATCTTACTAAAATCTTATTATCATCAGAATAATTATATTATTTTCCTTCAACTGAGGAATGAATGATAAAGAATGTTTCGTCGCGCATTCAATCTGTTTCTGTGTTCTTGCCGTTAGGTTGGTGTAAATATATTTGGCATAGTCTTAATTGAAATGAACTAGATTTACCCTGTACTGTAAAGATATGTAAACAAACATTTTACAAACGTGTAATCACTTGAAAGTACTTTGTAATTAAACTTCATAAACAAATACATTGTTGATTCTTTTTATCGCATGTGTTCTTGCAAGTAATACAATATTTATACTACGTTGTGTTTGAAAGGAACCCAACTGAGGTACAAAAGCCGAAAATCATAAAATTTGAATTTCTTTCTCAGATCAGCCGGGGACACAAGAACCGAAATACATGTAGAAGATAATAAAGAAATAATCTTAGAAATAAATTGTAAATTTTGAGTTATAATTACCCTTAATTGAATGAAAAGCCTTGCGACCCTTTTCAATTTATGTCATTTTCGCAATTAAAATAACTATTTCGTGAAAAATGAGTAAGGGAATGATCTGAATTTTTGAACAAACATTAATTAGCTTGTTTAATTAGGTTGTTTACATACATGTATAAGGTTGTTTACATACACGTTTTAGATTTTCTAGATGATATGGCAATGATCACATGAAAAGAGTTTTCTATAACACTTTCTTTAAAGATATGTAAACAGAAATCCAAATTTTCAAATTCTTTAAAAATGTCAAATATGTGCTCAGAAGTATTTTAATAATGGATTTAGAGCATGCTACGTATTTTACAACTGAAGAAAGTAGCGTTGAAAGTACAGTTATGCGTCATAAAAGTACCAAAGTATAAACAAAATAGCGTTTTGACTTCCGTACAACATACTTATTAAGTTATATTGATTTACATGTAATTGTAAAATAATAGCATAGCAAATAAAGTAAAATATAGTTTATATGTGTTGCAAATATATAACTTTTTGGAGACTGTAACAAGATACAAAAATTTAGAGAAATCAAATATAGATGATAGTAATCCTGAGGGATAACGGGCCTTTAAAATGTAAAGAAAAAGAATATCAAAATCTTTTCTTTGTTAGGAATACAGTTACGCTTTAACATTACACTTACTAAGAAAACTGTTTTAGTTCTTTCCTGAATCATACTGAATTACAATTATATACTCAGGACAATACTCTGTCCTTGTTCCCTTGTTGCAAACAGTGTAAATTGTGTTATGTGTCCCTGTCTACCGTAGAAGACATTTGTAAAATGAGAGACAATATATTAATATTGTCTCTTTTGTTTTCTGCTATATATATTTTATAAATACTGCAACTATCTAAAATAATTTTTGTTTCGGTTGATTGTAACACAAATCTATAGCTTGTATCCGTTTAAATAATTTTCATTTTTGAACAATTTGCTTTTTATGCTGTTCTTGTTATTGAGATAATCAGTATAATCTCTGAATGCTATTTTAGTTTTATGTAAAGCTGATTTAGTTCTATTTCAAAATAATATATTCATGTTCGATAATGAACTTAACATTTAATGCATAAAAGATTTTAAGTAAAACTTTAAAATGTGAAAGTAAGTGATTGAGATAATCTTTCTGGCTTTCATGAAATGAAAATGTCTCAGTAATAGAAGTAGCAAGACTATTACATGTATTATATTTTGAAGTTACTTTTCTTAACGTTCCAGACATTTCTGAGCAAAATATATATGCTTTAAGGAATAATATAAAATAATAGTAAAGTTACTGACATTTCTCATTTTAACAACCTGGTGCCACATAAGAATCACTGAACATACTTTATTTAAAATGCAAATGCTTTGCAAGTCCCTTAATTATTCATTGAAATACGTTTTTCAACTTCTTAAAAAGTATCATGACTCATTTTATGACCAATCGTTTGCCAAAGCAATAACATAATAATACAAAATAATGTTAAAAATACATTTATAACCATGCCGTTAACTATATGTTTCTTTTTAAATATTATCATGATCTGCTAAAAGTTAATCATGATATTGACATTTTTTCTGAAGATCAATAATTGATAAATAATCCAATACGTGTCATATTACTATCACATGCTTTAATCTAATCATTTGCCACAAAAGGAGATTACTATCGATTTAACAAAGGTTTATTGCCATACCTTATACTTCTCGGAATACCTTATTAGTACATTTCCCTGTATCTGATAACAGAATATCTGGCTTTGAAATACATCTTTACTAATAAAATAGAATTATTGTTATTCTAAATGTCACAGACTTTTGCAGACTAACAGATAATAACTTTGCCTTTCAACTAAAATGTCATGTATTCATTAATATTGTAGAAATTGTCATCAGGTCATGTGTTTCTAATAAGTTAATTCAGATGTATACAATTATTGTGGTTTATCAAAATTTAACAATTAATAAAATCTTAAACGTTTTCTGCTTTACTGATACTTTTAAACAAAAACCTCGATTTAATACAAAATCGCATATTCATGCCCGAGATATTTCTTTTAAGATTATAATTCTCATGCCACTACGATATGTGACTCAAAGTACGCACAAATGCCTGTTTATTTCTATATTTTAGAGATAATTTTGCAATATTTTTATGTTTAAGTAATTCACAATGTCTTTTTAGGACTTCTTTAAAATGATCATAGATGGAAACAATAATGTTGTAACATAAAACTGTACATGCATTCCTACAAAGATAACTACAGAATATCTTAAGGAAATGAATATGGAAACATTTGCCTCCCTTTATGTTGGAATGTTTAATCATTTCATATATTTCAGACACTATTTACTTGCACTGTATTGTAACAATTTTTTTTTATATAAACCTTTTTTTTAAATTTCATTGTTTCTTTATTATTCGACAAAATACAAGCCCTTATTTCAATATCCTGTTTTTTATTTCAAAAAGTAAAAACTGTTTGAAGACACAATAAACCCCAGAAATGGGTATTTAAAAACACGTTTGTATAATGAGCAGATATGTATTATATTATGTTGTTATAATACAAACATGATGTTCCTATCTGATTTGCCTTTCAAAGAAGATTAAGGCTATAAATTGCAAATACCTTCTTACCAGACTAAACATTAAGGAGGGATTGATTCTCTGACCCTAATCTTGATTGAATTATGCCTACAGTTCAAAGCTTCTGTTTTCTAGGAATGATAAAAAACAATATATAGAGGATATTGAATAAGTGTAGGTTCAATACTGAATTTATGGAACGAGTTGAATAACATTATATTATGAAAGTATGTGGCGAGCAGGATATTACTTAAGTAATTCAGATATACGAATTTAATATTGTATTTAATATCACATATCTAAAATACACTAACATTTAGCGCATTCTTTTGCTATGTTTGTATATCACAAATGACGTCACGTCAAAATATATATAGGACATGCAATACTGTTTTATTTTAAGAAAAGTGGCACGGGTATTTGATATACGTAGATTATAAGGAATCAGTCTAAGATAACCATGCAATAAAAAAAATTTTTGTTCCAAAAACCAATAGTTATTTTCCTTAATTCTTTGTAAATAAACATTATATCACTTATAATTTAAATAATTATCGACATACCTCCAACTTTTCTTATTAATCATTTGCATTGAACAAGAATAAACAAGATTTTCCCTTGCACTAAAAATGATAGATTTTTAATAATAGATTTTGTTTCTTAAGAGTTATACTTGTTTTTAAATGATGCTCAGCTCTTGATTTTCCAGAATGCCTCTCTAAGAGAAATAATAGGTGTAAAAGGTGTAAAAGATATGTAAATACAAAGCTTCAAAACAAGTTTGTTGAAATTTTACCGTTTCTGTTAAAATGTCCTCAAGGCTGATGTTAAGATATCATGATATAACAATACTTACATTTATATAGTATTAAAATATATATTTATCTTACAAAGTACAGAACGTGTTTAATACAAAGAAAATATAATACAAGCAAACTTATCATATACAAGTTTAATACCATTTACACATCAAAATAATTGTATTGAAATACTTAAGATGCAGGTTTTTTTTACAAGTAAATAATATAATTTTAATGTAATAATGAAGTAAGCATTTTCCTTTTATTAGTTGTTTTACAATAAATATATTATAGTACATTAAACATGATTAATTAAAAAACAACAAATTCTAAGCATATTGTCGTTCCCCTTTGCTACGTAAATCTGTCTTAAATTTCTTTTAATAATCCTTTCATTCATTTCATCCTTCATCTGAAATGAAGTTGCTTACGTTTTAGAACATTTCTTATATTTTTTGTTATTTAAAATATATGGTAATGTCTATTCTAAAATATGTGAATAATTCAATTCAAGAAAAATGTGTGCAACAACAGTCTTAAAATACATATATGCGTTATTCATTTGACATTTTATAACAAAAACATGCAAAATATTATTATTACTACATAATTAAATATCATTATTTATGACTTCATGATTTACGGATTAAGACATTGCCATTCAATAACTATTTGGTCTTGATAGAAAAATGAAATATTGAAGCTATGGAGTTAATATAATGCCACTATTCTAATATAAATTATATTATATGTAGAATTTATTTATTCTAAGGTTACATGTCAGTACTCAATGAGTTATAGCGTTGTAAGTACTTTATTGTTGTCAT